GGGCTACAGCCCACTTCTTCAACTGTAGTCCACGAAAGCTTATGCTCTAATAAATTTGTTAATCTCGAAGGTGCCACAAGTACTCCTGTTCTTTTTGCGGATACAGACTAACACGGCTGCTACTCTGAAAACTATACAAATATTAATTCTGGTAAATGAATGGCTGATCCTAGAAAAAATAAATAGTTGATTTTACAGAGAGAAATGTAGCTTGGAGTGTAATAGAAACACTTAAATTGGCCAAAAAAGATGAGAGAAAAGGTGGGTGAGGTAATATCTTTTAGTGGAACAACTTCTGTTGGTGAGAGAAATAAGCTTTAGAGCTGAAGAAGAGCTCGGTGCAAGCTTGAAAGCTTGTCTCTCACCAACAGAAGTTGAAGATATTACCTCACCCACCTTGTCTCTAATATGCTGGGTCAACACGGCTACATCAACTTTGCATTAGAAAAAGATGGGCAGAATAGGAAACTTTATCAATGCTTACCTGAAAATTTCCTTTTTTTTGAGTAATAAGGTCCACAGATGTGTACTTCATCCTGCTTGCAGCTTGGGGCAGAACCAGACCTCTCAGTCACTGGCAACAGAAGAACATGAAGTTCCCTCCTGTTGAGACAACTTCCCTGGCCAGGATAATTCAAATCTAATTTCTTAAATTACAGATGGTGTTACATATACTTGGAGGAAAAACATCTATTTCTCCTACTGTAGAGCAGTCTACTTAATGATTACAAACTTAAATCCTTGGATATCAATTTCCATCTCTATTCTGGATGATCTCGTTTTCTGCAGGGTGAGACGGATCTGTGGACCTTATTACCAGAAGAAAGGAAATTTTCAGGTAAGCATGGATAAATTTTCCTATTCTTTGTGCTAAAGTCCACAGATCCCTTACACTGGGATTTTCATAGCAGTCTCTTTCCAAGGTGGGAAACAGGATAATTAAATATGGAAATTCAAAACAAGGCACATTATAATTACATAAATAAATATAAAAGGAACAGGAGTGTAGTAAAATGAGGCCCTGAAACAAACTCTTGTGTCAGAGGCCCGGTCTGAGGCCTGAAGCCTGAAGCAAAGTACTTCCAGGCATTGCTAAGCAAAAGCTGGGCTGTGAGCCAGAGGCAGGCCCCACTCACAGCAGTTGGCGAGAAGAGGGCTGCTAGAAGCAGGTGCATCCACATATAAGTGCTAATAAGAGGAACTTGTGCCAAGATGACATCAGAACACTCCACAGAGATAATAAGGAACAGGCAGGTGCATCTTAAAGACAGGGTCAAAAGGACAGCATGATGGACAAATCTGTTTGTTTGAAACAATATGATCAAAAGGGGAGACAGCACCCTAATGAGCCAAGGGTCTGTACCTCAATACATCAGTAGAGATGAGTAATCTGTCCTGTTACTGTATAAAGGTATGTCCCGGAGTGCACATCTTTGTCCGGCCTAGGGGGCAGAGGAAAGTCCCGCCACTTACTGAGCCGGTCCATTGCCAGGGGGCACAAATTCGTAGTATGTCTCGTAGAGTCTATGGGAAACTATTGCTGTGCTTCGTTTGACAATAAACCTGGCTTGGGTTCCTTCGTACCTTACTAGAGTCTGTAGTCTTTGGGGGGGGTCTCTTGGGGTCTGCTGTGTCAGCTATCTGTGCAGAGCTGGGGCAGCACACAGAGGGAACACGCATGCAGCCGACTTATCATCGAACAAGAGCAGAGCACCACACCGGTAGCTACTGACAACAAGGAGTACTTGTGGCACCTTAGAGACTAACAAAATTGCGGATACAGGCTAACACGGCTGCTACTCAAACACACACACACTCTTAATAATAGCCAGTGTTTCTGGCTCTGCCTGTAATATACATCTTCCTCTGGGCATTAAGGTGTGGAGAATACATCTGCCAAAAGAAAGGAAATGGCATTGGCTAAGATTGGATGACCAATATGCAGAAATTGGTGAGCAAATTACCATCTAGCAGATCTTAGTACTGGAGTCCTGACTGCTGTTACCTGAGATTATTAGTGCTCCTAAATACTGCTTAACCAAAAGAGGAATATTTCTTGGATTTCCTTAGGGAATTAATGCTATCACAGTTGGGAGGAGTATGTGTCTGAATTAAAAGTACAATAGTGGGTCATTTGAGAAGGCTCCCAACTTCAAATTTAAAAACCTCATCTGATTGTAGATCGTAGCCACTGGAAGCCTACTCTAATGGATAGGACACACAACAATGCCTCCTGTGGAGGTTCAAACTGGGTAATGCAGCAAGGGGCAAAATGAGATTCCAAGGTATTCTATGACTTGCAGGGTTGGAGTAAGGTTGATGCCCTAATGAAGCATTTGAGATGTTTACAAAACTTCATTTTCTTGAATATGCTGAGAACGTTGTACTACAGAGACTTGACTTTTTTACTTCGACACTCAAATACATCCACAATAAAGCATTCCTGGTGGGAAGAGGGATGGCTTCCAGTACCAGCGGAGGAAGCACGTGCCTGGGGCGACACATGCTAAGGGGCGGCATTCCGTCCATTCTTGGGGCGGCACAGTCCGAGCGGCTTTTTTTTTTTTTGCTTTGGCAGTCTGAGCGGCTTTTTTTTTTTGCTTGGGGCAGCAAAAATGGTAGAGCCGGCCCAGGTGGGAAGGAAGGCTACTTACCGTATAGTACCTGGAGTTCTTTGAGATGCATGGTCCCTATGGGTATTAATTGTGGATGGGGATGTGCACCATGCATCTGAGAATGGAAAATATTTCAATAGCAGTATTCGTTGGTCCATGCTTACACCTCCTTGTACTCTGAACTGAGAGTATGAGGGATGGTGTGAACCAACCGCTGCTCCAGTTCCTTTCTACTGTGAATCAAGTGAGAAACCGAGCAGAGGGGAAGGAGGGTGGGTCATGCAATACCCGCAGGGGCCACACATCTCAAGGAACTCCAGTTACTATAAGGTAAGTAACTTTCCTTCTTCAAGATCTGGTCCCTTTAGGTATTCACTGTTGATGACTCCCCAGCAGTGCATGTTGAGGAGGAGGGGAGTAGGAAGTGTTCTGCACCACTGATTGTAGGATCACTGAACCAAAGGAAGCATCCTTGGCAGAAACCTGAAGCAGGGCATAATGTTTAGTAAAAGTGAGAATGGTGCCCTAGTTGCTGCTCTGCAGATCTCCAAGAGGAGAATAACTTGTAGGGATGCTACCGAGGCAGCTTGGGATCTAGTTGAATGAACCCTGACCCTCTGAGGAGGAGGCGCCTCTATAAACACATAGCATAGGAGGATGTAGCTGGAAATCCATGTAGAGAATGTTTGAGAAGAGACTGCTTACCCCTTTATCCTCTTGATTAAGGAGATGAACAATCCTGGAGACTTCTGAAAGGGTTTTGTCCTGTGTAAGTAGAAGTCTAGAGCTCTTTGTACATCTAGGAAGTGGAAGTTCCTGTCTTCCCTGTTATCATGAGACTTGGGATAGAAAGACAAGTGAACAGTTCGGTTCAGGTGAAATTCAGAAGGTATCTTTGTGAGAAACTTGGGATGAAATCTCGGGATATTTTATCCTTGTGAAACACCGTATAAGGAGGGTCTGCCATAAAGGCCCTGAGCTCCCCCTCTCCTTCAGCAAAGGTGATTGCCATTAGCAAGGCCCCTCTCATAGACAGGTGTAGGAGGGAGCAAGAGGTCAAGGGTTCAAATGGCAGGTTCACGAGTGCAGTTAGCACCAGGTTGAGGTCACAAGATTGGACCTCTTGTGAGCAGGATCTCTCTAAATTCATTGTCCATCCAAAAAGCAGGAGATGGAGGGATCTCCAGTTGGGATGGATGCTCCTGCCTCTATTCTGAGACAGTAGGTCTAAAAACATTTGTAGGTATTTGTATAGGCAACAGGCCATCCCATAGGTCAGTGGTGAACCACAACTGGCCACCATGATACTATCATAATTACAGTTCCCTTGTCCTGCTTGATCTTCCTGAGGACACAAAGTAGTAGGGTGATGGGAGGGAAGGCAGAAATCAATGCGTCCAATCACTGTACCAGGAAAACATCCCCTCTTGAATTGTGCCCCTGGACAACTCGAGAGCAGTAGGCTGGGCACTTCTTGTTTCCTTGTCGTAAAATATACTGCATCACCAAAGAGCGGAGCTTCCACTTGTGATCCTTGTGAAAATGCCTCCTGAGGTTGTCCACCAGAGAGTATATTACTTCTAAAAGGTGCACTGTTGAGAGGATAATTTGATGCTAAATGCATCAGTTTCAGAACTTGATTGCTTCCCTGCAGAATGGGCTGGACTTTGCTTCCCCGTGTTTATTTATGTAGATTCACAATTCCAAGGCCAAAAGGAACATTGTGATAATCTAGTCCAGTAGGTCTCAACCCAGGATATACGTATTCCTGGGGGGTATGCAGAGGTCTTCCAGGAGGTACATCAGCTCATCTAGATATTTGCCTAGTTTTGCAACACGCTACATAAAAAGCACTAGCGAAGTCAGTACAAACTAAAATTTCATACGACTTGTTTATTCTGCTTTCTATACTATACACTGAAATGTAAGTACAATATTTATATGACAATTGATTTTTATAATTATATGGGAAAAATTAGAAAGTAAGCAATTTTTCAGTAACAGTGTGTTGTGACACTTTTTTATGTCTGATTTTGTAAGCAAGTAGTTTTTAAGTGAGGTGTAACTTGGGGGTATGTAAGACAAATCAGACTCCTGAAATGGGTACACTAGTCTGCAGAGGTTGAAAGCCACTGATCTAGTCTGACCTCCTGTATAACCCAGGCCTTAGAACTTCCCCAAAATAATTCCTAGATCAGATCTTTTAGAAAAACATCCAGTCTTGATTTAAAAATTGCCAGTGATGGAGAATCTACTATGATCTTTGGTAAATTGTTCAAATGGTTAATTATTATTTCCAGGCTGACTTTGGCTAGCTTTAACTTGCAGCCATTGGATTGTGTCATATCTTTCTGTGCTAGACTGAAGATCCATTATCAAATATTTATTCTCCAAGTAGATACTTGAAGACTGTAATCAAGTCATCCCTTAGCCTATTCTTTGTTAAGCTAAATAGATCGAGCTCGAGTCTATCACTATAAGGCATGCTTTCTAATCCTTTAATCATTCTCATGGCTCTTCTCTGAACCCTCTCCAATTTATCAACATCCTTCTTCAATTGTGGACACTAGAACTGGACACAGTATTCCAGCAGCAGTGGCACCAGTGCCAAATACAGAGGTAAAATAACCTCTCTACTCCTAGTCAAAATTCCCATTTATGCATCCAATGATTGTACTAGCCCTTTTGGCTACAGCATTGCACTGGGAGCTCATATTCAGCTGATTACCTAGGATAGAGTTGCCCATCCTGTAAATATGGCTTAAATTCTTGTTCCTACATGTATACATTTACATATTAAAACATGTTGTTTGCTTGTGCCCAACTTACCAAGCAACCCAGATCGCTCTGTATCAGTGACCTATTCTCTTTATTTTTTTATCATTCCCCCAATTTTTGTGTCATGTGAATATTTTATCAGTGATTTTTCTGTTTTCTTACAGGTCATTGATAAAAATGTTACATAGCACAGGGACAAAACAACTCATCCCTTCAGGCCCCCACTAAAAACACACCCAATTCAATGATGATTCCCCATTTACAATTACACTTCAAGATCTATCGGTTAGCCAATTTTTATTCCATTTAATGTGCACCATGTTAATTTTATCTTTTTCTAGGTTTTTAATCAAAATGTCATGCAGTACCAAGTCAAATGTCTTAAGGAAGACTAAATATATTACATCAGTGCTATTACCTTTATCAACCAACTTGTAAGCTCATCAAAAGAGATGTGTTAGTTTGACAGGATTCATTTTCTGATTGGCATTAATTATATTACCCTTCTTTAATTCTTTATCAGTTGAATCCTGTATCAGTTGCTCCTGCTCGGGAGGTGATCTTTGTTGAAAGCAGTGCTGGGGTCCTCATAGTCTGGGGCCCAAAAGTACAGATCACAGGAGCCCCAGTATGGCCAATGGGCGGGATCATAACAATGAGGCGGCAAGGAGGGGGGTACCATTGGTCTCTAGCCCAACAATGTGGGTCATGAGGACTTGGAGGCATCCGGGAGGCTCTGGAAGTCCTCTCTGGGATCAAGTCCTGTTTCTGAACCATTGGAGTAGGGGTTGTTTGACTCTATTGGTGGAACTGATGGTACAATGTGTCTTAAGACCGTACAGACAGAGGCAGGAATGGGCGAATAGGTTACCGATGGTGTTGGAGCACTTATGGCATGACTGATGCTCAGGATTGGCAAATGATGTGCTGATGGTGCAAGGATAGAATTGGGTCAGAAAAATTGGTGATCTAAGATGTGTGTAAATCGCCAGATCCTTGAAAAGGGTATATCAAGGTCTAATGGGAGGAGAGCTGGCAGGAGTCTTGGGTATGGATGGATCCATCAGTGTGAGTTTGGATGCAGCAGTATTTGTACTGTGCAGTACCATCAATGCAGACAGTGAAAGTTCCCTTGTGTGATGCAGGGGTCAGTCCTGCCCTGTCAGAGATGGCTTCGGAATGGTGGTAGCTCCCAGTTCTGTTGATGCTGATCCCATGCTGCCTGTGAGCTCCGGGTTGAACCCGCCTTGTGGCACAGAGTCTTACTTGGTGGTAAGAGAAGAGGAGAAGCAGGCTTTTTCTTAGAGGACGTATGGAGTGGTTTGTCCTTCTTTTAATGAGGGTGTTTATCTTTACCCTCCTCATGCCTCCATTTAGTGGAGTCCTTGGCTCTGCTGGAGGATTCCTAGCTAGAGAGCGCTGGTGCTGGCAGGACACTGCCAAGAGGCTCATGTCGGTGAGATGGGGATCAGGAGGGGGCAGGATCAGATTGGGGCTTCAAGGACATCTCCATTAAATATCTGCACTCTTGAGACTGCCTAGTACAAGGGGAAATGAGCAACAGATATCACTTTTTGAAGGAACCTGCGATTTCCCAAGGCAAAACAGGCAGCTCTAGCAATGGTCACTAGTCAGAAAGAACCAGGGACAGGACAGACAGGGCTTGAAGCTTGAAACCTTGGGCATACCAAATGGTGGGAGAACAAGGAACCCCCTAGTCTATCTAACTAGACTTAACTAAGCTAACTATCTAAGAAAAACGATTTACAAAACTATTTTCAGAGCCAAAGTTTGAGCAGTAACATTGGAAAGGCTATGCACAGAGAAGGGTTCTGTCCCGGACTAGGGGTGGTGGAAAGGAACTGGAAAAGCCATAGGTCCATGCCACCCCTTCTCAAGGAAGAAACTAGCCTGGGGCCCAATGGTGGGCTCCCCAGAAATTCTACCCCAGCCTACTGCATGGGATTCACATGGGCCAGATAGTTCTGTTTCCCCACTGGATGTATTGCCTCAATATATGAGTAGGCATCCTGAAAGGGAAGGTCTGTTACAGAGGGGCAGCACGACCAGAAGGCTGGGCCCAAAAGCCTCTTATAGAAGTAGTTCTCAACCAGGGGTCCGGGGAGGCGCCAAGTGACTTTACAGAGTTATATGGTGGCAAAGATGGACACCAGGGTACTATGTCCAGGACAGTCCAAGTGTGTGTCCGGACAGGTTTCCAGACCCTCCCTGTATTCAAAGTCAGCCCCACCATTTTGGGGCCATCTCAAGAGAGTGTCAATGTGTCTGATGCTGTCCTGACCGGGATATCCAGCAGTGCCACAATGGAGCCAAAGCACCAAGCCTCCCAGAGACAACTGTCCCAGGGCTTTGCGAGAGGCTCACAGGCTCCTGCTCTCCACCCCCACCCCTGTGAAGAGCAGGAACAAAAGACAGGCTGCTGATTTTGCTTCCCCAGCAGCAGCAACCCTGGGATGGTCACAAGCTGCTTCCTTCCTCTTGCTCTCTCTTGGCGGGGGGGTGGGGGGGGGGGGAGGAAAGGAAGGAATCACAGCCAGGAGGCCCCAGGGCAAGAGCCTGCAAAGCCTCTGCTATTGTTCCATCCCCGGGATCCCTTGCCAGCAGCAGCCCTGCCTGAAAAGGCAGGGAGAGGGACAGCCCCAGGGTGGGGCGGAGGACGTTTTCCCCCCAGCCCAGCTGATGCCCCCAGGCTCCCTCCCGCACTTGCCTTGAGCTGGGACTTGGAGACCTTGCCGCTCTGGTCCAGGTCCAGGGTGGTGAAGGCATGCCAGATGGTCTTGAGCAGTTCCTCTTTCAGCCCCCCCATGGCCAGCCTGCCCCCGGGCCGCTGCGCCCCAGCCGCATGCTCTGCTAGCTCCAGCAGCGCTGTGCTCCAGCCGCCCTGTCCCCTGCTGCAGCTCGCATCACCCCACCCCTCTCCGCCGCCGGCAGCCAACTAGGCGCGGGGCAGGGCTGCGCCCTCTGAGGCAGTAGGAAGTGATTGAACCCTGGGCAGCCGCGGGCTGAGGATCATGCGGGCCCCTCTCCACCTCTCACTGACCCCTCGCGTAAAGTAGCCCTGAGTTGGGCCAGCCCCTGCTCCCAGCATCCCTCCCCCGGCAGCGGGCTGGAACCGGCCCCCGAAAGGCGAAATCCCCCTTGGCCCTTCTAACCCTGCCCTCCAGGGAGCCTGAGCTGCCCTGCAGGGCCGCAGGGCAGGCTCAGGCCCCATGCGTGGAGCCCAGGTGGGCAGCTTGGGCCTGTTGGTAATTATGACAGTGAAATGTGAGGCCCTGATCCTGGCAACGCTCCCAGCCGGGGCTGAGCGCAGGGGCACTGTGCGGGGAGTGACGTTATCCCGGAGCAAAAGTGGTTGCAGGCTCAGGGCCTTGTTTTCTGTAATGTCTTTCAAATGAAACATGTAGCCCCAAAATGCTTTACAGCAGTGGTTCTCAACCAGGGGGGCCGTGAGCAGGTTTCGGGTGTCCGTCAAGCAGAGCCAGCATCAGACTCATTGGCGCCCCGGGCAGAAAGCCGAAGCCCCACTGCATGGGGCTGAAACCTAAGGCCCTGAGCCCCACAACCTGGGGCTGAAGCCGAAGCCTGAGCAGCTTAGCTTCATGGGGCTCCCTGTGGCATGGGGCCACATGCAATTGCCCTGTTTGCTACCCTCTAATGCCGACCTGGCTTTTATATGGAGAAAATCAGTTGTGGTGACACAGGTGGGCCGTGGAGGTTTTATAGCATGTGGGGGGGGGGGACGGAGAGGGAGGGGAATTCAGGAAGAAAAAGGTTGAGAATCCCTGCTTTACAGAACTTTCTGGCATTGGCTGCATCAGGGCTGTAATGAGGGAGGAAGGGATGCCTGCCTCGGAGCCAAGTTCTTTTCCAATCCTGCCTCCCTTCTTGTCTCCTTTGCTGCTGAATGGAGAAGGGGGCTGAGGTAACCTTGTTTGACTTGAGCTGCCTCTTGTCTAGCAGAACAGCTTCTTTAATCTTTCTTGCATTCTCTCCTGCTTGGAGAAGGGGGTAGATGACCCCTCCCAGATGGGGCTGAGAGAGAGAAAATGGGTCCTGCCCACAGAACTGGTTGAGCTCCCCAGTAAGACACTTGCTAAGGGGCAGCAGGAGACACAGACCCTTCCTTTTGTCTCTGGCTTTTCTCAACCTAGCTTGCTCCCTGAAGCCTGTAGCAGCCCCAGCTGCTGCAAACATCTCAGAATGGGAAGCAGAGCTAAGAAGACAATCTCCCTAAAATCAAAAACTGCCCTGGGACACAGCTGGGAATGAGACAGGCACATTACTGAGCTGAAATTTAGACTAAACATTTTAAATAAAAACTGGAATTTCCCTCAGAAAAGCTCTGTAGCAAGATGGGCTGGCTGAGCTGCTGGCCACCTGAGGCAGAAAAAAGGTAGGGAACTTCAGGTGCCGGGGCATCCCCCTGCTGTCAATGACTGACAGGTCTAGTTCTGTCCCAAAGATGCAAGCTGGCTGAAGTACAATTGTAACAGATCTGTGGACCTTAGCATGAAGCAGAAATGAAGTAACAAGCTGAAGTTTTATTGAAGAGTTCTGAAACACCACCACCAACTCTATAATTATTGTATAAGCTTCTTCTGCTTCCAAAACCGATGGAGTGAAAAGTCTACCTGCAAAGAGAAGAGCTGGCTGCCACATACAGGACAGCTGACATTCTCTTTGTAGAAAATGAATGTACTGTCTGCACCAGCTCAGTAAATAGCCTTCTTGTGATTTAAGCTCCTTTGTGTACTACGTGAAGCTTGCCTCTAACTCACAGAGCTTCTATTTGAAATCCCTCTGTAAATCACCTTACATGATACACAATACCAGCTACTACTACTTATGAGGGACAGTGTACGTTCTATCATTCTACCAATAGCTTCACTATTTTCCCTTTCTTTCCTGCAAAAAGGGAAATCTTCTCTCATAAGAGTGAAAGGGAAGTCCCTATTTCTTTTTCAATGCATTAACTATTAATAGGTCTGCAATGATGGCTCAATGCATCAATTTTCCAAACACTGAATAGACATAGATTTGTTATGCTTACCTGATGCACACAGTCCAGGAACTGTAAGAAAATGGGAGCAAATCCACTACCCTGACAACTGAGGGTCACATTACTACGCTGATTGAACTTATGACCAAAAGAGAGCCATTCTTTTTCCACTAACATTTGGAAGCCTTCAAGTGTCCTGTAGAATGGATCACTGAGTAATTGCACCAGAGACACCACCTAGATCACAAAACAGAGTGCACTGGCATTAATATTAGATATATCATATTTAAAACTAGAGTTTTGTTCAACAAACTGAAATGTTCTAAACTTGTTTTTATATACTGCAAGACGTCAAAAGCATTAAAATATATTAAGTTATGAATAACTGGGGAAGTTACTAAGTAAGTGATTTACAATAGCAGAAATAATCCAAATTTGAATAAGAGGAAGTTTCATATAAAAGAGCTTCAACTAAAGTGAGGTTTTACTGAATTCGGGGGAAAAAAGCAAATTCGAGTGATTACAGAATTCAGAAATCACTACAATATTTGCCAGATTTAATTTAAATTTAAATTAAAAACATTTTATCAATAGACAAGAATGACAAACATTTAGAAAATGGGTGCTGGCCATCTCAGCTGGCAGAGGATTGCAGAAAAGGACCTGGAAGGTGGTGGACTATACCCTCTGGAGTGATGCCATGTTACCTGCAGTCCTTCCTTTATCAGTTAGCTGGTAGTGGCTAAAAGGCAGCACTGGGCCTCTTTCTGCTCTGTCTATACATATATCCCTCCACTCCTCCCTTATAATTTAAAAATGGCTGAGTGGATAGTGTTAAATTTCATTTGTGCTTTTGTTTGTACGGAGCTATGAGTTATGTGTCAGATTCTCAAACGATTTGACGGAATTACCGATTTGCTGTATGTACCTTTTGGATTATGATGCATTTACACAGGCACAATCTACTCACTGAATGAGTTCAGCTGTCGCTTTTCAATTAATGCATGGTTTGTTTCACAAGATCTATACTTTGGTAATGTGTCCTGGCAGCAGATGCTACAGGGTCAGATCTGTGAGTGTGCATGGGAAAGAGTCTCTCGAACACATAGTGGTAGAGATAAGGGTGTAATGCTCATCAACTCACCTTGTGTGCCAAAATGTGTTTCAGCCACAAAGTTAAGCAAGTTCTTGTGGTGAATTTTAGCCTTTCCTCATGCAGTAGTCTGCACAGGGCTGCAGACCTTGGTTAGGCCCTTGAATTGTGCAGGGCCATCAAGACCTTGGGTGAAAGCATACTGTTTTGACTTGTTTGGGATTAGAAAATCAAAATGGATGAAGAGTGGTGACAGATCCAGGTAGCCCTTGCCTTTTCCCTGCTGCCAGGATAGGTTGCATTTAGTAATTTGTTGTTTAAATTTTAAGAAAATTACAGCTACTTGGCCAAAAATCTAATGCTTGGTGTTTACTAGTCCCCACCATTCACAAATTTGTAATAGCAGCTTACCTGTGCAGTAATATCCCAACCATCTTCCAAACAAACCATAACTGAAGAACCATTCTCAAGGAGCTCTGATATCACCACACCCAGCTGCATTATCCTGTGAAGCTACATAATATAAAAAAATATGTAACATACTAAGAATGCAGAATTAATCTGTTAATATTGCCGAATGCTTATAGATTCATATCATACCATACCATTCATGATTTAAACTATAAATATAAAATATATTAAATACATTTTTTTCATCTCTCTCTCTCTATATATATAAATAAATATTAAACCATTTATTTATTTAGGAAGTTTTAACAGGTTTACAAATCCTTGCCAGGTAAAGATCAGAGACAAAACAATAATCATTATATCAGTGAAACACAGTAAGATAATCACCGTATCATTCTATATAACAGGATGTTACCATATTATTGAGTAAGCATCTTTATAGTACCCATAGCATATTTCCAGTGATTTTATTAAATTGTGTGAAATCTCTGATCATGCATATTTAACTAATCCGCTGTCTGTCAAATGCTAATATTCAAAAAAGTTAGACACGTGTGCTGTTTTTTCTGCAGGTGAGCGTACTTTGTGTATTGAATAAATGATAACCAAATAGTTAAGTATATATTTGTTGTCTGTCTATTTTACTGGGTATGTAACTGATGAGTTAATTTTTCTTTAACAATACCTACAGAGAACGTTGATTGTTCAAACTCTTAGAATTTTAAATTTATTCATTTAGAAAGCAAGTTTCTGTATTATGGAAATAGATCAAATCTTTTTTCTCTTATATTTTGTTTTTGGCCAGGCTGGCTGGGATGTGGGCAAGTATATGCTCAAGTATTCATTATGGTACTAGTCCTACAAACACTTAAGCACAGTTGTAACTTTACCCCCATGAACAGTCCTATCGATTTCAGTGTGACTTCTTATTGGATTATATTTACATGTGTGCTGAAAAGTGTTTGTGGGATTGGAGTCTCTTTCTTGTTATCAAGCTCAAATTTTGTGAACATTTTCCTGATTTATGTAATGAATAACAATTTTATTCCTAAAAATGAGAAAGTCTCTGTTTTTAGTTTCTACCATTTGTATGGTGTATGGTTAATCCAAGATCAAATGTCACAGTAGAACACACTTGTGTAAGCAGCTTTAATGTAGGCTGAACATGGCTATTTCAGTTTTCAACAGTAGGAGGAAACCCATTGCGTGTTGTATTGGACACAATCCAATCAAGGTTAAGATTAATAGTGAAAAGTCTCAAAGCTTGAAAGTGAAGAATGATAAAGATGTTGACTGTGTTACAGGAAAGAAAGCAATGTAGGTGCAAAGACACAATATAAGACAAATCTAGGTTCATGGATGTAAAAAAAAATAGAATCAGCTGCGAAAGGAGAGTACAAGAGAGAGGACTCAGGGAGAACGGAGGGAAGGTGGAGAAAGAAAGTAAAAGGACAGAGTCTGCCTTAGAGACTCCCAAACAAGACATAACTTTAGAAAATTCATCTTTCGTCTTCTGAACCTTTATTAAATAACATTTATTTTGTTACCACAAGATGTAAAAGGGAAAAATACTTATACTACAGAAGTATTTAAACTACTTATGATACATAAATACAAAACTGTTACTTACTTCCTTGTAATTGTTGTTTGAGATGCATTATATGTCTATTCCACTGTAAGAGTGTATTCATCTCATGCACGGGTGCTGGAGAGTTTTTCCTAGCAGTTCCTGTAGGGGCAGCTACACACGCATCTTAGCTTCCCTCTGATCAGAGCCCAGGGATATAACTGGTGGGACAGCCCTACCCCTCCTTTAGTTTTTTCATACCAGAATCTTAGATGATAGAATCTGATGAGTTGGGGTTGTAGGACTGCTTTCCCCACATTCACATCATCCTGTGATGCTGCAGTAATTGCATAATGGCTAGCAAAGGTATGTACAGAGGACCACATCACCACTCTACAAATGTTAACAATAGGAACATTTAAAGAAGGGGGAAAAGGAGGAGCCAGGGAACTATAGACCAGTCAGCCTGACTCTGCTCTAGTAGCTTCCCAGGTATCAATGTATAAAACATTTAAGTTGTGAATACCTGGAGGATGAAGGGCTAATCACTAGCAGCCAGCATGGATTTACGAAGAACAAATCATGCCAAACCAACTTGATTTCCTTCTTTGACAGGGTAACTGGTTTGGTCAATAGGGAGAATGTGGTAGACATACTATACCTGGACTTCAGCAAGGCTTTTGACACAGTCCCGCATGACATGCTGATAAGTAAGCTGGAGAAATGCAGGCTCAGCAGAACTACCATTAAGTGGATACATAATTGGCTAAACAACTGCAAACAAAGATCAGAGGGGTAGCCGTGTTAGTCTGAATCTGTAAAAAGCAACAGAGGGTCCTGTGGCACCTTTGAGACTAACAGAAGTACTGGGAGCATAAGCTTTCGTGGGTAAGAACCTCACTTCTTCAGATGCAAGACGGGGAGGGTCTTACCCCCCAAAGCCT